TTAAAAGGAATTAGCCTTTGGTCTTTTGAGGAGTTTGTTTCAAAGACAACTGAGACTACAACTTTCCTACACAACACTTTCTTTTCTTAAGGTGATGAATCAGGACTAGAAAATTAAAACCTGCTTCACTATGGCAAAATTAATCTGAAAGGCTTGAGACAGAACGAAAATGCTTTCCTTGTTGACATTTAGATTGCACACACCTCATTGCTAATATGAAAAGATAAGAAAATTCTAGAAGTTGGTAAAGTGTGTGCATTTTCAATTTTGTTACATATTATTTAATAATGCTCCATGTAAGTGTTAAGTAACTTTTTCCCCCAGTTTTACAATCTGGGGATGAACAAACGGAAGAAATGGCTACTTTGAAAATAAAAAGTGTATAAATGACTGAACATTATGCACGGACTGCCTGGAGACTTGACTCCCGCCCAATCCTCCCCCTAACACAGACTTGCAGAGCAATGTCCTGAGTTTTAGAATAATGAGGTAAGTTGCCTGTGCTTACTTTGACAGTTTAAGTGATTGTGATTTCACCTGATACATTTCTCCCTGAGTTTTGAGACAGGTTCTCACTCTGTAGCCCTGGATGTCTTGGATTCACTATGTAGAGTAGGCTGGCCTTGAACTCACAGAGATCTGCACACCTTTACTTCCTGAGTATTGGGATTAAAGATGTGCATCATTACACCCCGCACAGATTTTGCCTGATGTTACCTATATCATGGGGGTAATTTTTCTCATGCCCTTTCCATTACTAAATAGGTTGTTTAGGATTGACTGAGACTGTGACACAAAAGTCCATCTATGTTGCTGGGGAGTCACTGGCTACCCAAGGTGACACCTGGGATGCTGCTGCTGACCCCAATACAGTCATCTTTATGTGCTACATATACTACAACTTAACTCTGTATGTATGCAATATAACACATTTTCTTGGTATTATGTGTGGGTTACACAGTGCTTTCCAGAATCTCACAATATGACCATTTTGCAAATAAGCTTGCTACAAAGATAATTCATCTAGGTGAGGTTGAGTGGGAGAAGGGTGGGCTGTTAATCCACTGTGAGTGATGTCCTTACAAGAGAAGAGATGGGAGAAAGACACACAGAAGGAAGATGGTCACGTGGCAGGGGAAATAGACTGAAGCAATGTCCCTGAGCCAGTGACTTCAGTGTCACCAGAAGCCAAGAGAAAGGCCTGGATCAGAGCTGCCCCCCCCCCCCCAGCTTTCAGACAGAGCATCGCTTCCTAACACCTTGACTTTGAACTCCCAGCTCCCATATCTATGAGGAAACACACTCATGTTTTAGATCACTGTGCCGCTTTAGTTATGGGAGCCATGGGAAAGAATCACACCATGTGAGTTCATGTGTTTGGCTTGAACAGAGAGGATTCTTTTCCTCAAGAATGTCTCAAATTTACAAGTGAACCGCTGATGAGTTCCAACAGAGCTTGTTACAAAAGCTTGTCACTGTGGGCAGACTGCGGGCATTTTAAATGGTTTGGTTTGAGACCGTGGGATGGGCTTTCCTACCTTTGTATTCTTTCTAGTCTTGAGTCTGATTCTTGAACCAAAACTCCTAGGGAGGCGCATGCTCATTAGCACCTCCACCCACTTACTATCCAATAGGTGGAAATCTCCTGCAAGTTGGTGGGGGAGCTTCAGGCAGGCTTCAGTGGAAACACCTGGAAAACCTCCCACCTCTGAAGTCTGGGGAAGATCCTGTTCCTCCTCCCCCAGACAGTGTACTTTTTCTTCTGTTTTAAAAAAGATGTGTGTGTGTGTGTGTGTGTGTGTGTGAGAGAGAGAGAGACAGAGAGAGACAGAGACAGAGAGACAGAGAGAGGGAGGGAGGGAGAGAGGGAGAGAGGGAGGGGGGGAGAGAGAGAGAGAGAGAGAGAGAGAGAGAGAGAGAGAGAGAGAGAGAGAGAGAGAGAGAGAGAGAGAGAGAGAGCATACGTATGTCATGTGAGTGCAGGTGCCCACAGATTCCAGAAGATGGTGATAGAGCCCCTGGAGCTGGAATTCAGGTGGTATTTTATGTGGGTGCTGGGAACCAAACTTGGGTCCTCTGGAAGAGCAGAAAGTGCTCATCACTGCTGAGCCGCCTTTCCAGTTCCGGCAATAGCATTAGCCAAGTGCTGAGACCTGCTTCACCTCTGTCCTGCCAGCCGGGAGCAGCTGTGCTTGTAAACCAAGGGACAAAGTTACAAAACAGAGACTCTGCGGTTCCTTGTGTTGCAACCTCAGCATTACAGGATTCTCTGAGTCAGTCATTGTCACCGGCTCCTGATAACATTGCTCTTACTCCTCTCTGTCACCAGGGCGGGACTGCAGATGTCCCTCAGGACTCACCCTTGTTTTTATTTCTTTATCGGCTCACCTGAGAAACCTACCCACTTTCCCTCCGGCCAGGGATAGAATCCACTTGCCACTGTGTCATGGAGCTCTGGACCCGCAGTGGGAACACAACAGAGTTGAGAAGTCCCAGTCTCTAAGCATGGTTCCATGGTATGTGGCCATTCTGTCCCAAGTGGTTCTCCTTGGAGAACAGAATGGGAACGTGCCCTTCGGCTAGTGAAGTTTCCTGGAGCTGGACTAGCCAAATGCATAAGCCCTAGATCTGTTCTCTGTTCTTCATGAGATGCCTCAGTAATTTCAAGGGCAGAAGGAAAGTTAAAAATCAGAAAACCTGAGAAAATGAGATGGTGATATTTTCCCCCGACCCAGGAGGCTCCTGGAAGTGTGAACAGCAAAACCAAGATTTAGCAGGAAGAATGCTATGCCTCCATCTTATAACTCCATCATCAGCTGCTTCCTGTGCTTTCCTTTATCTCAACAGCAATCCAGAGGACAGAAATGTTTCTATTGGTTCCTGCCCCAAGGATATGATTTGCTTCCAGGAGGGACTGTTCTCTGGCCTTCCATGGGAAGTAAACATCTGTATAAATCAGGGACTTAGGCCTACGCTGCCAGCCACAGTGGACCATCACTGCATTTTGATTCTCCCTGCCTCCAGTCATTTTCCAAACTGCCACAAATCTACCCATCACAATGGACATGTACTCACATGTACCCGGGGTGCAGGCCACACTAATTATTACCACAATCTAATTTCTAGAACACAATAGCAACATTTAAACACGGGTAAGGGTCAAGGAGAAGAGAGCTTGGCCAGTCATGATCACTTAAAGTCATTGTAAGCTATCATTCTCGGAGTGTGGTCCCAGGGCCAGCAACGGGGGCACCCTCAGAACTTGTGTACTAGCCCATCCTTAGCTCCCATCCCAGTTCCGTGGAGCCAGGGACCTAGAGGTGGTGCTCATTCAGGTGGGTTCCTGTGTGCTAAAGTTAGAAAGCCTAGGGATGGAGCATGGTAGGTAGAGTGTCTGCGTAGCCTGGACAAAGTCTTGGATTTGATCTTGCCACCACATAAAATGGGTGGTGTACACCTGTAATCCCAACACTTGGGAAGTGGAGGCAGGAGGATTAGAAGGTCAAGATCATTTTCAGATACAAAGCATTTAAATTGAGACTTCATCTCAAAAAAAAAAAAAAGGTAAAAATAAAATTAGAAATGTTAGCAAGCCCCCAGCTTAGCTGCTAGTCAGGTCTCCATCCACATGTAGAAGCCTCAGCTGCGAGCTTATCGCTCCTAGCTTGGAGCAGAATGCCGGCTTCCCTGCACTTCAGCCCTGCACACTGGAGAGAATGAGGAAGGACTTTAAATGGCCAGGTGGGAGGTTAGGCAAGGCTGGTTCATCCCCTCACACCCAAGCAAGAGGCTGGCTTGGAAAGACTCCTAAGACGTACAAACAAGGCTGAGATCTGAGGAAGGCATGTGGTAGATCACGCTGCACCGAGGAAGCAGACTTCTCAAGTAATCCAGAAGCTTCCTTCTCAGAACTTGACTCTTGTACCTCATTGTCAGAGCCAGACTTAAGTTCGTGAGTTAACTGATGTGTCAGACGTGTTCCACAGCAGCATCAAATCCAGCATGACCCTTTGTAAGGTTTTAGATAAGAGTGACGACAGGAAAGAGACCAAGTCTTAGAAACACTGAAAGAATGTCTCCCCGGCCTCCCAACGGTGATGTGGCTGCTCTCTCCTGAGGCTTCTCCCCAGTCTGTGAGTGTTTCTGTTGTTCAGAGACCTCTCTCCACCAGACAGCCCGGAGAGACCGGTGTGGAAAGTGCCTCTCTTCAGCATGCATTCCTTCAGTCAGCTGTCAGCAAACTTGGGCTCAGTGCTGCATCTAGCTCAGGAGCTAAGACTGATGTACTATTTTTAAATGATGAAGAAAAAAAAATGAAGGCTATTTTGTGAGTACATGGAAAATTATATAAATGCAAGGTCTGTTGGCTCACACTTGTAATCCCAGCACTTGGGAGGTTGAAGCAGGAGGATTGTTATGAGTTTGAGGCTAGTCTGGGCTGCATTGTTGAGGTCCAGGCCAGTCTGAGTTACAGAATGAGACTCTTGTCTCAAAAAACACAAGAGTGGATGAGATGTGTGTATGCACACATACACAGTAAATAAATAAAATTCAATAAAAATTTAAAAGGAGTATTTAAAAAAAAAAGACAACTAAAAGTGAAAAGAAAACCATACAAAACCTGACTGTCAATGCTTGTAACTGGTTTTATTGGGATAGCTCCACCCACGTGTTTACAGTGTCTGCGGCTGTTTCTACACTCCAAGGACAGAGCCCAGGCGTCACTACCACTGGTCCCGCTCAGAAAAGACTGCTGATCTCCACTTAAAAACAAGTCTGAGGTTTAAGATTTCCATCAGACACGGTCAGGTCAGCCATGGATGCCCACATCCCAGGCAGCTGCCTAGCCTGTGAGTGCTACAGACTCACAGGTCCCTCCTCCCCAGTCATTGGATTCCCAGGGGGAAGGAGGGTCCCTGGTGTGAACACCACAGTGAAGAAGTCGGCAGCTGGGGCACCACTTCCTCCAAGAACCAGTTTCTGCTCTTCTGTTCACTCACCAAGCATTTCTAGCGTCATGGTCCATCACACAGCACCTGAAACAACTTCGACACAATCTGACTGCCCACAACTGTTTTCAAGAGAGCAAGTCACTGCAACTTTTTTTTCCCTCAACAACACTTTTTAATTATCTTTTCCATTTCCTTGCTCTTGACATTGGAAAGCTGAGATGTCTACAAATCAAACCCTGGTTTGAATATAGACCGCTGGTTGCTATTCTCATGCCATGCAACCCCCTGCTGCAAAACTCCAGTTGAGGTAGCTTATAAATAAGGAAACACCCATTCCTTTGGGGCCCTATGCTTTTAAAGTCTATATTCATTTCTTCCAGGTTTCTGAGAACTGTTCTCACCAGAGCTATCTGTTAGACGGGCAAGACACATGTCACACAATGCTAATCCCATGACAAGCCAGGCCCCTGATATCAGAGTCGGACACGGGCAGCTCAAAGCAGCCCCAAGCAATGTTACAAGCGTGGCCGTGGGAGTGGGATCCGGAGCTCCCCTTTGAAGCTGGGTGCGGTCCATAGTCTGATGCCCTCCATCTAAAATGACCCGAGAACTCTTTCCCTACAGCAGTTTGCTACAGCTAACGTCCAGTGTGTGACCCACTCCCTTGACGCTATCTCTAAAACTCCTGGTGTGGTCCGGTAGGAAGTGAGGCACGAGGGACGAGGGTAGCGACGACGTAGAATGAACACGATGCGATGCGAGCAAGCTGGCTCTTGGCTGCCTGTGCCCGCGCAGCCTGCAGAGCAGGGGCTGGCCATCAGAGCGGGGCTTTGGGGGAGTCAGCTTGTTATCCCAGCTTTAAGGGAACCGGTGGCCTCAGGTCTGTGGTTCTCAGTCACTTCCAGAGCCGGCTTACTTTGAAGCAGGGCAGGCCTATTACGGACTGCTCAAGAATGGGCTACTGGATTTGTGCGTCTTTTAAATCTGAGGACCGCAGAAGAACCTGAAGAAGGCCAGGACTGACTTATCCTGGGGCCAGTGATTCCCTTGAGAATTCCAGGGTCACTCTCTCAGCTAGAGGCAAAGGCAGAGCAAAGACACCCTACCGGGCCCCCCCAGCGCCCCCAGCACCGCTCCTTCCTGCCATCACCAGCAGAACTCAGTCCAACTCCAAGACCACAGCCACTTGGCGCCGAGAGAATGAAAACCCGAGTCTCTAAGAGGCAGGCGGGTGGCGGGTGCTGCCATTTATTGCCCCAGCCTTGGCATCTGACCGCTTAGGAGGGGACTTCAGAACCCTGTGCCTAGGTTTACAGCCTCCAGCCAGTCTGCTCCCTGTTGCCAGCGAGGAGTCATCCCCCGCCCGGTGGCACCTGCTCCGCAATCTCGCCCGCCCAGCGTTCCGCGACAGAAGTGTCCCTGCTCCCGGAGACCCCGCCCCAGCTGCCCATGCTCACTTACCCATGGTGGCGGCTCCAAGGCTCCCGGCTGGTGACTGGCGAGCAGGAGTTGAGGCTCCCTGACTTTGTTTCTAGGCCCTGCCCAGCTGGCTACCTGTGGGTCTGTAGGAGTGTGAGGCGGGGCTGGCCGGGGCTCCACCCTTGAAGGAGCCGAGGTTAACATCGCATAAACCCTGGCTGCGGCGGGATACCTGTCCCTGACGCTGCTCCCAGACCCTAAGGGACAGGATAGGTGCAACTGTCCCAAGTGACAGGGGCAGCTGGAGAGATCTGGAACCAAGGACTCCATTTGTGAGTGGTCGCCTTGGAGGCTTGTTAAAATGTGTGTCGCCAAGCACCACCTTGAGATTTTGCTGAGTCAAGAGAGCCAAACTGGGCCGAGAACCTGCTTGTTTGACAGTCTAAAGGGCTTGTGCTGGTGCTGGGACCCCACTTTGCAAACAACAGCTCAGAGAACCGCTCTACCTTTGTGTGGGAAAGCAGTTTGTGTGTGTCTGTGTCCTCAAACTTGCTCCGCAGCACAAGAGACCTGGAGTCCTGCTCCCCCACCCTCCCCACCCCAGCTCTGGGATTACAGAGTGGAACACTTGGCATGTCCATCTTTCTGCTCAGCCTTGAGGAGGTTTGGGCTTTAGAAGCCTACAGAGGAGCATTATGATGGAAATGAAAGTGAGTTTCAATTGTTTGTTGATTATTTATTCACTTATCTATTGAGGAGAGACTCCCCATCCAGCCCCAGCTCATCTATAGCTGAGATTACAGGCGAGAGTTACCCCTTTCACACCCCACAACTGTCCTAAAACGGCAGTGAGATATACATAACGGAGGCTGATCATCTTAACTGTTAAGAAGACATTAAGTACATTCACCAACTTCATCCATCTACAGAACTTCAGCTTTCAAGCTAAGCTCTGTACCATTAAACAAGTCTGCATTTGCTCCCCTGTCCCTGGCAGTCTCTGCTTTCCTTCTGAGTTTGACCCCTGCAGGTGTCCTGTGTGAGTGAACTGTGCAGATTCACTCTTAGTGGCTTCTCAAGGCTCAGCCATATTCCTGCATGGGTCAGAACTCCCTTTCTTTAAGGGAGATGTTGGGTCTTCTATAGTACCATTATGCTTCACTTTGTTTATCGGATCACCCGTCCTTATCATCTGCCCTTGAGAACTCCCAGCCGCCCTGCTGGGAGGCGGTGGTGTGTGGGTGGAGCCGAGGAAGCCCTTCTTCACAGGCAGTTGCACCTGTCCTTCCCCTTCCTTCAGTGGGCACAGGAGGAGGAAACTTCTTCCACCCTTGAGTGGTTGATACTCACTAACAGCTGATGTTGTTAGAAGACTAGTGGCCGCAGGTGGAAGGACCACACAGGGCCGGCGGGGAGGCGGGCACACACCTGCTGTTAGCCCTGGGGACGGAGGTGAGCAGCTGGCTCCTCCTTTGATTGGTCTCCTCTGCAGATGAACTTTGAGTTGTTGCGTTCATAAGCTTCCATATCGTGGGCCTCCATGAAAGCACCCCACTTCCAATCAGGGTTTCGGTGTGGTCCTGGATCAGCAGCAGCAGCTCCAGCATCCACGGAATCAGAAACGATGGGATCCTGGACAGTCGCTGGTGTTTTGGCACTTAGGAGGCCTGTGCTGTCTCTATTCTGCTTATTCAACCCTTCGCTCAAGCATTAGTCATTTGTTACCTCCATGTTCAAGGGCTAGTGCCTGGCATCACACAAACTGTGAAACAAAACAGTCCTTTGTCCACAGAGCTTGCATTCTGTTTCCAGAGGCTGGACTGCTCCTTGGCGTGTGGTGGGGGCAGCAGATCTGGGAGGGTCTCTGTCCTCTACACTGACTTGGAGAGTCACACTGTGTGGCCTCTCTTCAGCTCGCTCTCCCCTCACCCCTCCAGGTCTTAGCATGGGGCTTCTCTAGCAGATTAAAAAGCCCAGCCGTTTGAAGTACTTCAAAGTCATCTTTGCCTACATAGGGAGTTCAAGGACAACCTTGAGTTTCTGAAATTCATTTGTGTCTCAAAAAAGAAAGCATACAATAGAATTAAGAAAATAGAATGAGTGAGTACCCCACTAATGAGGCATATCAAAATTGTGTATCCTCCAAAGTCTTCTGTTAACATAGTTGCTCCAACTCACTGCTGAACCTGCTTTCGGAATTCTGAAATCATTTTCTCTTTCCCTTCTTCATCCCCTGACTGTTCTGGAACTCACTCTGTAGACCAGGCTGGCCTCTAACACACAGATCTACCTGCCTCTGCCTCCCAAGTGCTGGGACTAAAGGCATGCACCACCACACCCAGATGTATCTATGCTTTTAACACATATTTTTTTTTTCTAGGTTCAGTGTGGTGATATTTTGTTTGTATTCTGACAAATAAAACTTGTCTGGAGATCAGAGGGCAGAGCTAGCCACTAGTTAACAATAGAGGCCAGGAGGTGGAAGCTCATGCCTTTAATCCCAGCACTAGGGAGGTGGAGACAGTAATATAAGGCAGGAGGAGACAGGAACTTAGCCCCCTTCTGTCTGAAGATTCGGTAGAAGTAAAAAGTCTCTCTGGTGGCTGGTTCCTTTACTTCTCTGATCTTTCAGCATTTACCCCAATATCTGCCTCTGGGTTTTTATTATTAAGACCAATTAGAATTCACACTACAGTTCACATATTTTGTATTAGGAAGCATGGACAAACTGACTTTCATCTGACAGGATGATTTTCTAACTCCTTAACATTTCATATGTAATATTTTTATTAATTCTTCAAATTTCATACAGTGCATTTTGGTCATATTCACCCCTACTTCTCCCCCTAACATCTGTATTTTAGTACAGAGTATTTTCATATATATTCTCTCAACTGAAATCTCTGTAACTTGATGAAATAGTCAAGTTACTGCATTTTAAGGCCGGGGATCCCAGGTATGGAAAAGGGAAGTGACTTCGTTGGATGCTTTTCTCATTGCTGTGGCCACACACCTGAGCAGTTCAGGGAGGAAGGGTCCATCTTAGCTCAGGTTCAGAGGACACAGCCTGGCAGTGAAGTCGCTGTGCAGGATCCCGTCCATGGCAGGTGGGGGAGGTTTGCTTTGCTCACAGCTTGGCAGAGCAGGAAGCCAAAAAAGAGGAAAGCTGGTGTGTGGTTACTCTTTTCCTTTTTCCCCTTCTGAGTCCAGGACCCCGGGTCATCAGATGGTGGCCCCAACATTCAAGGTGAGCCTTTCTTCCTCAGTCAGTCCTCTCTGGAAACACCCTCAGAGACAGGTGCAGAGGTATCTTGCGGGTGATCCTAAGTCTAGTCAAGTGGGCAGCCATGATTGATTGTCACTGTCACTGATCCAAGCTCACGAAACCATCATTGATTGAGCTGAACCATCCGAGGGGTTGGACCTGTGCATCTTGGGCCCTTTCGCTTACACTGTTCCCTGAACGTGTGACTCACTCTCTCAGTAATAAAAGCTGCAGTCACTCTGAACACTGCTCCATGGGACCCCCAGAACCAGACATTTTATCCTCATTCCCTTAATCCTCGCCACCACCATAAGTGGATCCTCACCTGAATTTTCACACTGGAGAAAACTGAAACTAAGAAAGGTTTAGGAATTTGTCCAATC